TTTTTTTTTTTTTTTTTTTTTTTTTTTTTTTTTTTGCCTGGCGGACCGCTCCATTTATTGGTGGGGAGCATCATCTGCTGGAAACCGGGTCCAGCGTCCCTTAAGTACATCCTTATAAAGCAGAGCACCGTTGAAAGAGTGACACCATACTCAAAGAGTACATCATAACAAACCACATAGCACACCACACGTAACACACTTTGAATGATACAATAGAGTACAACATTCAGTCCATCATTATCTCGTTCCTCAAGCCCAGAAAGCCACCAGTACTTGGCCCATACATAGGGCGCGGGGCGTTTTCGTGCACGCGCCGCGACTTTGGGCTTAAGTTACCGGAGCAAAATGGCTGGCGTGCCCGGGCAAATGAAAGTTGGACCCGTTTGTTTTACTTTGGTGCGCACCACTTTTCCAGCATCGGACGGAAGTGCCTCGGAAGTACCACCGGTGGTTTAAAGGTGGTCCTCCATGTGCCTAACCCAAATTACGTCCAGGGACGAGTCAACAGTTGTTCTACTCGTATCATGTTGCAAGAAGCGGTTACTTGGGCGCAGCACTTTTCTCATGGTCTTTAAGACGAAATTGAGAATTCCAAAACCTTTTCGACCAACCTTGTCACCAATTAATAGAGCTGATACCAAATAAACCAAGAGCAAAAGAAATATTCACACGAAAAGAAAAGAAAAGAAAAGAAAAGAGAGAAAAAAAAAGAGCCAAAAACACTAAGGCAAAAAGTGTAAAAAACGCTTTTCCATGCGAAATTCACCCCTGAGTCCCCTAGGCTACCAGAGTGCCCCGGGACCACTTGACCAGCCGGGCCAAAAAGAAGTAAAAAAATAATAATAATAATAATAATAAAAATTATATATTTGCAAGGAAGATGAGCAATAGCGAACTTCAGCAATCAAACAGCATCATACATATGAGTCCAGATAGTAGTGACCTCGAACCAACAGCAGAATTGCATCACGAGATTCACCAAATAAGAACACACCAAGAGTTCATAATTGACAATGCTGAAATAGTCCCATCATCATCAACGAAGAACCAGAGTTGATATCCTATCTGGCGCTCGGCCCCCAGACTACATGTGGCAGATCCTATCTAGCCTATACTACGAAGCCGAAAGATGCCGTCAACAGCATTCCCGAAGTACGAGCATATGGCGACCAATGTTGCACGCTTCCAGCACCAGGTATCTCTCGCGCTACACTCACAACCTCGTTCCCCAACTCACAGATGCCACTAGCACCCAAGGACCACCCTGCGCTTCACCCAGCTTACCGCAGCGCAGCTCGGCTATGGCTGCGTGCTCCTTCCCTGCTCGCCCGTGAGAGCGTAGGCGCCAGCCAGCAAATAGCGCAGCAGCGCTTGCGCAGCATGCAGCCAGCACCCGAATGCCGAATGAGGACGCAGGCCCTTTGCTATATCGAAGTGGCCTGCCTGCGTCCAGTCCCAGGAAGCTTCCAGTAGGCTCCGGTAGCCTGAGGCCCAGTACGATCGAGCACAGGCCTGGGGCCTGTGGTAGTTTCATGTGCCCAACTGCCTTTGGCATGTGTGTGGCCCAGTACCCGTATCCAGCCCAGGGCCTGCTTTCCATTCATTCACACAGGCGGCCCAGGGCCTGGGTTTCTTCAACCAACTGGTGCTGCACAACTACCTGAATTTCCTTAGTTGCGCAGAGGTCGAAATAGGGCCCTGAAGGCCTCGTCGAGCCTGCCTTCACTTAGGGCGGCCGACGGGCTGTAAGAGAGGGGCCGAAAAGGGCTCATAGAGGCAGTGGCCTCACATA